CTCCAGTCAGCAGGATAAAAGGTGATTTAAATGAGAAAATATTTATTCCCCGTAGCGCCGCCATGATAGCAGCAGCCAAATAAAGGCACATGCGTACAGTGATGGGTGTCCCTTTAAAGATTCCAGGAACAGCAGTGACTCTCTCAATTTAATCGATTTTAAAATGAAAAGTCAATTTAACAAAGTTGAAAAGAGAAAGATGGGCTAAGGGAAGAAAAAAGCATTCTCTTGCACTCAAGCAGTAAACTAACTGCCGCACAGAGCAGGCAGAGATTTCAGCTGAATTATCTCCCACCTCACATTTGCTCTTAGGCAAGCAGTTTAAAAGCCAAGCGATTGAGCCAGTGATCCAATTTGAAATGCAGAAATGATTAGAGCAGCTTGCCTCATTTCATATCGAAATTCTCTGATTTATGACAGGGCACCAGCCAAGATCTATCTCTAAAGGGAATTAGTGTGCAATTCCTGCATATTTCTGTTATTTAGCCTCCCAATAGCAGATGCTATAGCTTTAGAGTAGGGGGGGAGGAAAAAGAAATGAAAGCAATATGTAGGTATCTTTCCATTTCACCAGATGTAACCGTTGCCATTTAGAAGAGGGAAAAAATGACACAAAAGCAGACTTGGGGAATGGAGGTTTTTTCCACTTTATGTAGGATGTTGACAGAAAATACTTATTTCAGGGCATAATAAAAAAAATATGCAGCATCTAACTAAGCACAGCTTTTCCCAGCATGGGTAGTAGTGGGAGAACACAGAATGAGAGGTTAGCTTTGGCCATTTTATTCAACAAAGAAGACCCTTGCAACCCATCCATCCTTGAGGCTAAGAAAATATTAATACACAGAGCGATAACGAGGGCTAGAGGAAAATCTCCCTTAATGAAATTTCCAGTTGACCACATGCAATTTGTTTCATCGCAGTGAACAACTAATTGCAGTGGACGTTATCAAGGTGTGAGCGTGCTGTCTGCTGTAAACTGACTGGTAAAACAGGTACAAATCCTTTATCCTCACTCCCATGTTAGAAACAGAGAACATATAAACTTGACATAACCCATATGTAAGCTTGTTTTTTGTTATGTTTATACTGCTAGCATTGTCTGAACAGGGCATGGTACTGTACTGACATGTTGCTAGGATGGCCACCGGGTCAAATGTGATTTAGGGGAGAAAAAGTGAAGTGGATTCAGTAATTCAGGTGAAAAAAACTTGTTTTATTGAGGGAAAAAAGGAGAAAGCGGACAATATTGAAAAGATTTTTATACCATCATTGACTCAAATATTCCAACTGGTGTTTTTGTTTCAAAATGGCACTCCTTCATACCAAGTAGGTGTTGAAAGCCAATGAATGCCTTGAGATAGAGTGGGTTTGATCTTTCAGTTGTCTAAATCCTGCAGCTATGGGATCAAAATGGATACAGTGCCAGTCACTGACCTTGGTGGAAGGGGGAAGAAATATTCATTCCCACCAAAGTTTGCATCGATTTCACCTGCCCTGACCATGAAGCAGGTTAAGAGTAGCCACTGGTAATGAAATGGTCAGCGGTGATATCATTAGCTTGTTGTTTACACAGGGAAGCAGGGAGTTCGAAGAAGGCTGAGTGTCACAAGCCACTTTCTTCTTCACCTCCTTCAGCTGATCAGAGGATCATGGTATCAAGGAGGGATTAGCAGCGACTTGGGATTTGTGTGATTGGTTAATTTATTGCGGTGATGGCAGGTCTTTCATCTATGGCAACATTTAATCAGCGCAGCCACGGAGGCTATTACAGGTTAGCTCCTTTCTGGAGTCAGTCCGGCTGTGCCATCAGCTCTATCACAATTCCCCCTGAAATTTCCAAATTATCTGGAACAGGCTTTAGCTTCTCAGTAATAAAAATTAGAACAGATTCCTGATAGAAGCTTTTGCTCACACAAGGCCAATTATAAATAGTACAGCCCTGCCTTGGAAAATGGAAAGAGGAGGGGGGGAAAATCCAAGTCTGAGAGATGTGCATGGAACTTATCGTTCAGCCCCTGCTCCACTCTGATCCAAATCCATGTGGCTGAAAATTTATATTAGATTTTATCACAGAGGTCTAAGTCTTGAAAAATCAATGAAGGTTATCTTTTATGTTGCAGCAACTTGTGGAAATATTGATTTTCATTTTATAGCGAATTTGGAGCATCAGTTTGTAATCACTTCCTCGCTGACTACACTGTTTTGGTCACTGTATCTGTTACACAAGGAGCGGTAACAGAGCTCAGAGAGAAAATAAATAAATAAAAATACTGAGAGAGTATTGAAACCACTGGAGTGAAGGCAGAGGGTGGATAAACCATAACACACTACACAGAGAGGAAGGCCAGAGGGGTTTTAACAGGCTCTGACAGAGATGATAGACTGTAAACTGATATTAAACACTATCTCTATAAATGAAACACATTTTTACTTGTTATTTAATATCAGTTGAGTTGAATATCTATTACAAATTTCTGCAATAAACCTGTGATAAACAGGACTAAAAAAACAGGAGTATTTTCAGCTTTTCTGCATTTTTCCCATCATAAAGATGACATGAAACATGTTAACAGTAGCCACTTGTATACATTCAAATGTATATATATTTTTTTGTGGCTGCAGCTGGGGTCAGCATATTTTGCAGTCTCCACTCAGTGTGTTGCTTTGGACAGGAAAGATCTTCCATGCGTCACATCCCCTGGCTGTATGATTGTTAGGCTGGGGAGTTTGTTTCTGTAAAACCAGTTCATCATATGCGTCCTCGCTCCAGAGAAATTGTAATTTTCTGCCTGTCAATCTGCATTTCTTCTGGTCCCAGCCACTCAGGCCAACTGATCCAGCTGTACAAATGTTTTCAATTGCAGATGCTCCTCCCTGTAGTGATGCCATCATGTCTTAATCCTGAATATGTCATGTGTAGCGGCTCTTGTACGTTTCTTTGTCTTTGTGACGGCTGGTACATGCAGCATGCTTTCATAGCACATAGGCCACTATTGTCACTTTAGATATATAAGGTAAATTTGCTGTGAGAGGCTGTCATGTTTTGTTGTTGCTCCGTTTCCATCAAAAAGAGCAAAGAAAAAGTAATAATTGACAATGAAATCCAAATAATAGATTTCATCTATGTATTTCAGTCAGAGGTTAAGAAGTTTCACTAAAGCAATAACTACTAATTATGATTACCCTGGTTATTTCTAACACATTTCTTCTAATTTCGTACACTGGTAAGACATCCAGTCAGTGTGGTATTTTGTCCCTGTAGGCTACATTAAGAGCAAATGGAATACCATGAATTTCCACAGGGCTCAGAGGGAAGGCAGAGAGGCCTCTTGCTGCTGAATAAGAGATGGCTCCAGACTGGAGATCTAAGAAAGGGTTAATCTGATTCCCATTTCAGATAGTTGTCCTGGCAACAATCGGCCGGTCTGCTCTGCTCCTTTGACAGGGGTGTGAGATTTTCAGGTTAGCCATAGACTTTATTGTGAGGCTAATTTGAAATGTGAAATTGCGGATGACTTAAATTACAGAGGTCCTCTGCCTCTCATGTGCTGCCAGGCTGGGATAAGATGCCAGACACTGTCTATGTGTGCAATGTTTTCTTACTTTTGCAGACAACATCCAAACAGATTCCTATCATCTCTCAGAGATGTTTTTGCTATTTGTAAATAATACTCTATAAAAAAAATCTGTGTCCTCCAGCCTCCGACTAGATGGAGTTCACGGAAAGAGAAATGGGTGGGTGGGGGAGGAGGAGGAGGGGGCATGTAGGCACACTGCCGGAGCTCAGTGCTCATCTCTTGTGCATATCTGTGCCAATTCAGACCTTTAACATGCTCAAGTGACATTTGCATTTATCCTTGAAGGTTGTTGCCTTTTGCGGGGGAGACAGAAGTGAAAAGCACAGGAGACGACTAGTATTTTTCTGTTGCATTAGGCAGATGGACAGTGTCCTGTCGCTGCCTGCCTCGAAAACGAAATAAAATGTTGAGATTGCACCCCAACCCGTTTTTCTCAGCTGAACTATTTCTGTAACATCCTAATGAAGGAGAGCCCCGGGGTTCAAAAGTAATGGCCTTGAAAGACTGACATTTTGCCTTTGAGTAATAGGCTACTGTACCTGGCTGCCTGAGATGCTGCTGCCTCCCCCCCAAACACACAACGCCACCAACACAGCATTCTGCAAGAAGCAAAAGAAGAAGAACAGAAAATGAAATAAAACAAAATAGAATACCATGTGAGAATGAATAGAGCAAGCAAATCTGGTGACACTGCACCATGTGAATCCATTATGGTGGCTGTTGTACTCTATCTCCCTGTTTTATTACTTTTTTTCCTGAGAAATAAAAGTACACATTTGACCTCTGACCAAGAAGAAAAATGACCTTACACATTCAGAATAATTTTCCAGCATATTATAAAAACTCCAACCTCAATTGCCCTTTGAAATTGATACTGATTCTTTAAATTCTTCCCTGGTTGTTTCAGGAAATAGTGAGATCCTGGCGATAGCACAGCACAATGTGCCCAAAGTTCACCCCTGAACACTCGATTCCTTCTCTCTGAAAGTCACTGGCCGTTTTTGTTCCTTTCATTTTTTTGTATTTCCCAGACACCTGAGATGTTCTTGTTAATCTAAGAGATCTGATGCTGAATCATTCAATGCTGGATGATAATTCCTCTTTTATGATACAGTGCAGGCTCTTGCACCCATTTGTCACCACTGCAACCACTACTGCAGCCTTTGTCTAGGCCAGCACACACACACACACACACACACACACACATATACACACACAAAAAACCTGCCCTGATTTTCAAATCTCAGCAGTGTAGAAAAAATAGGATTGGGTGGACTTGGGCTGCATGGCATATAGTTTCTGAAATTGTCTGTTTATGGCCATTCAGAGCAGCAGAAGAGCGTAACTCAGTGGTTATTAATGTTTCTTTAATCACCAAAATAAGCAAATGATTAGTGTTTGTTATCTGTCTCCGTCCAGAAGACGAAGAGCACAGTCCCGGTAGTGCTGAGCGCTGGCCCCAGGTGGCTGCTGGATGTGACTTGGCAGGGAGCGGAAGACAACAAAAACAACTGTGTGGTGTACAGCAAAGGTAAGCAAGCAATGCTGGCATTCTGTTATCTCTCTGCAGCGTAACACACCATGCCACACCACCACCGCAAAGACACCGACAATTCTCCATCCACTCCACTCCTGTCTGTCTCTCTGTCTTTACTTTTTCTCCACTTTCCCGCTCTCCTTGTTCCTCAAAGTCACAAACACACACAAATAATTGCATGTACAAAGCTACAAGGACACACAAAAAGATGTGCACATAGTCCCTCACCATATCTGTTTTTCTTATCCAAAGAGTAATTGATATGACTAAAACTCTGATTAGGGACTGAGAAACACCACTTGACACACAAAGTTAATGGTCTTCAGATTTCACAAAGTAATTAATGCCCCCTTTTCTCTTTTATACTAAGTGGATCCCTATCGCAGAGTAGATAGTGAGCAAAGCACAGGTGGAGATGGGTTAGCTTCATTTTGCTTTATTTGTTCTCTCACTCAGCAGCCGCATATCGTTAATAAATCAGACCTATTCATACAAAAACCATTAGAAATTGATTTATGTAAATAAGTGAGGAAGAATATTGCATATCTGTCATAAAATCCATGTCATTTTTCAGAATTTGACCTTAAGAGCAAAACCAAAAAAAGGCCCACTGTCATAAAGATAAACTTCTCAGTCGGCTGCACTGTGCCCAGAGAAAACCTTCATTGAAACAATCCACAGTGGATCTGCAGAGAGACTCTGGTTGCTTAAACTCTATACAGCCCTGGCACTACACTCTGTAGCTTCACTTCTCATGAAAGCACAAGACTTCTGCTGCTATAATTGGGTCTTAATGGGTGTTAGCCAGAGAGACACAGCAAAATAAATGCATAAATAAAGATGCATTTTGGATTCCAAAGGTTGAAGGAAAAGGGCTCCATTTGTCACTTTTCAAAAATGATTACCCCGTGACAATACCCCCAAAGCTGAAATGGAGATTCTTCTCCCTCAAAGTGAATAAATGGCAGGAGTGGGATTTGCAACCCGGATTTTCGGTCTCCCAATTCTCATCTACTAATCACTAGACTGCACTGGGGAGTTATCCTCTTAACCGGCTACTTAACTTTGTGCTCTTTATCAGCAAATCATTATAGTTTTGATAAGCTGTTAAAGAAGATTATGCACTTCTTTAAAATCTTCTAATCTTTTTGCTCAGAGACTGACTTTATGAAACAAAAAGAGGTGGAGGCAAAAACAAGTCTGGAGAATTTCCTCTGTCACTCTTCATACATGTATCCTCAAGATAGCATCACACACAGCACACACACACTACAAAGCATCATCACCTCAGCTGTGTATCGCTGACAGTCCTTTGTTTGTCGCCCCCAGTTTGACCCTATTTAGGCACAATAACATCTCCAGACGTCCCCTTGTGAGAGTTGTTCTGTGTTGTACTCTACTACTCTAAGTTCATTACTCTAAATCCTCCACAAGAATCAGCTCGTGCTTGCCAACTGATGATTAGTGATAACAGAGGGAATGTTGAATACAAAGAATTAATTTAAATGTTAGAGTAGACATAATTGATCTCTTATCACTTCATAGTACAGTAGCTGTGAGACAGTCACTGAGCTGAAGAAGCTCCATACATCAGACACCAGTTAATTTTGTTATACAATTTTTAATTTCATTAAATGATAATGCCAAAAAAATCTGTCTCAAGTTTTTGCATCATGAAAACTTTGGACTTCGAAACAAATGGCTCTATAAAAATAAAAGGATTTGCTAGTCCTGTGATACCACATGGTACAGCAACCTCAGCCTGTGTAGTTCCAGCAGCTTTGGAGCAACTTTACCACAGAGCTTAGGACAAATTGGTTGGGTGTCCACATTTCTGTGCTCTCTAACCAAAATTGTTCCACATTTTGCTCCTGGCAACTTTTTAGAGGGACTTGGACTGAGTTCAGAAAGTGGTAAAGTGTTTGATGCTGCTGAGCTGTTTGACTCTCGCGTCCAGACACGATTTATACTGCTCATTCTTCTTTGTCGCCTCCTGTTAAATATTCCAATCTGCATGTGTGTGCACCCTCTGGAGGTGACATTGAAACTGAACGTCAGCATGATGAAAATGTCAAATCTTTGTCCAGTTGAATGTCGAATTTGGTCTTTTTCGCAGCAGTTTTGAGGTAGCTCTGGAACTGTGTTATCATGTGGCCACTCGCGTGGATTGACTCAAGGCTCCAACACGAACTTTCTTCCCACCTTGAAAAGCCGAGCCCCAGATTGTTTATATCTTCACCCATGTGCTGTTTCCCCTCCGTCGGCTGCTTCATTGGTCCCTAAGATACGTTACTTATGGAAAACAGTGAATATCTCAATACACAGTATGTTTGCAGAATATGTTTTGGCTCACGTTTCAGTGGTCTCGGCTTTCTTTATGGCTGCTTGCAAAGATAGAAGCAATTCACTTTGGATGCTTGCCAGTGTGAATCTCTGGGGGAGTATCTCTAAGTAAGGACTGGTGATTGGTTTGAGTGGCTGTAGCTTACTGTTGGGAGTGCTGATTTCTGCATTACATTTTGTACAACTGCTCATCCTCTTTCTTGCCATTCAGGAGGTAAGGGAAATATGTGGAGAGGGAGCAAGGACAGGATTCAGCAAAATGATTCCTCTGAGAGTTGTGTGTTATGTATAATACATGCACTGGAGTGTGTAACAAGCAGCAGGGTGGTGTCGTCAGGTCCCCCACAGGGCGCCCCTGGTCATCAGTACCAAGACAAGCTAACTCTAGTGTCAAATATAGATTTTTTTTTCTGCCTGTTTTTGGGATTCTACAGTTCCTGTTGCCAGCAAAACTATGTCTTCCCTGACAATTTGTAGTCGCTTCCCCTGTCTGTATGATTTTATCTAGATGGACAGAAAGACAGAAACATTTAAAACATTGAAAGTCAAAGACCATGAGCAATGTCTGAGGCATTTAAACATCTCAAATTATGATTCACAGAACAATTTCATGAATATAAATTCTTTTTTGAATATCCCCTTTCATAAAATGAGATGCAGCAAGAGCCCTGAAGTGGAAGCAAGAAAAGTGCAATATCTGTTTTCCCCAGGCTGTCAGCATGGCCCTGTTTGTTTTACATTAAACTCCCAGGAAGAGCCTTAGCAGCCAGCCATTACTAAAACTCTCAACTCTACTACTGCGCTAACTCATTATCGAGAAATCCACCTGGAACTCCCACAATGCTCTCCTCCACAGTTTGACAGTTTCTTTGAAGCGCTGAAGTTATAGAAACAGGCAGCAAGTCTGTAGAGTAATTATATGTTACAGTAAGGCTGGAGACTAAGCAAAGAGAGGAGAGAGAGAGAGAATGACAGACAGGGACCCAGAGATACAGAAAGAGGAGAATTTTATGTCCCGATAAACAACAGATTGATAAACAATACAGCTGGAAAGTAAAAGAGATTCGAAGAAGAAAAAAATCTGCCCTAGTTTGATTTGTTGTCTCACATATCCCAGTTGATTAAGTTACCAATGGAGTTCTGTTCATGGATGAGACAGGTGTTAGTTTTCTTATTGTGAGCTTCTCTCCGGTGTCTGTGGCCCTCAGACCCAAGCCCATTCAGTCCTTTTTTTTAAGTGATAAATAATATTAAAAAAAACATCCGGCCACTGTAGTTTTAACAAAATGCAGCTCAAACAGGAGCAAATTGTGCATTTTTTTGTAACTAGTTTCAGCAACAGATTAATACACATTTAATATTTACAGTAGCAAGACAGTGCATGTAGGACTGAGCGCCCATGTTCATAGTAACAAAGGACCATGTCATCCAGTGCAGTGGTATGGCCCCATTATCTGTTTTAATACTTGTTAGTTCATCTCAATGTTGTTTTTAGGCTTTGTTAAATTGGATGTGTTGACTGTCTAAGTGCACAGTTAAAGAAATGAGAAGTGCCACTTCTATAGTACCATATATGTCTCAGTTCATTCCCAGTGTGAGCCTTCATTGTGGCTACCACGTTGTCACCTGATATCTGAACCCATTGAAACTATACACACTCAATGTGACCACATTATGTGGCATTAGTCCGAGGTCACCTAAATTTTTTAACTGTAAGCCTCTTAAGCCCGACCACATTCAGATACAGCATGTCCAGTGAGTCTCCAGAGCAACTTAGCCCATTGTGCGTGCAGAAATTGACCAATGTAACTGGGCCGTTTTACATAAGCTCATGCAGTGCCGAATTAGCAAACTCGCTGCCTCTTTGTAGTATTTCATATTCTCTAAGTCATCACAATCAGATCCTCTTTGTAGGCCTTCATTTGCTTTGTCCACTGCTACAGAGCCGCAGACCTCTGAGGCATTAGATGAACTAGCATGAGCTGCCTGAACAGATGTAGTGTCTGTTTTAGCTTTTAAAAAATAAATGCAGACTTGCAAAAACAAAGACATTTTAAGTTGTTGTTTTTTTCCCCTACCACAAATGAAGACATAAACCTGCACTTCTTCCTGCACTGCTCCCTGGCAGCATGCAGCATTAAACTGTGAGAGGAAAGGACTCTTACAGTTCAACTTTCAATTGTTCACTTCAGCCCTCCTCTTTTAAAATGAACAGGAGGTGCGAGGGTTATTATCTGTTATCTGGGAACATAGCAAAATAGTGTGACTGAATAATAACTAAACAACTGACACAATGTAAAAATTTCATTATCAGTGCATTAAAACAATTGTACCCTAAAGGAGTCCCAACCGCAGCTCAGAGCAGCTGACTAATTATGTTTAATTAAAAGACAACAGAGATCAACAGAATCGTTTTCATTAGGAAATTATTAATGATTCCACTGCAACAATAATTGATTGCGCTGAGCCACGCGATAACTCAGTGTGGTCAGGCTGGAGTGAGCCGGGTGGAGAGGAGCGGCTGGTTTAGGCATTTGGCATTTGTTGAGTGGCATCTTCTAGCTGAAGCTTCCACATTAGCAACTGAGGGGAAGTTGTAAAGCTGGCTTTGTGGAGAGGAGAGGAGGAGGTGGAGGATACTGTGTGGTGGG